GCAACCAGTCCTTGATATACGAGATGATGGCAAAAACTAAAACACGGCAGAAAACAACTTTCAACTTTCCCAACTTTCAAAGGCCCAGGTAAAAGCATGGCCAAGCATCCTGCACTGTATTTTTTTTCAGCTGTTATGCGGTATAATTGACTCTACGAAAGCCAGCACAACCTTTACTTTCCAACAACCAATCAACCACTCAATGGCTTTAAAAAGGACTTTAAATACATCATGCTTAGGAGACTTAGTCTGCATTTCACTATTTCTTCCAATCCATGTTACATTTTACTGTGAAAAGGATTAATGTTTCCTTACTGAATAGACATCATAATTAAAGTAGCACTTCTAAAATAATTGCCAATGATGTACATTAGCTTCATTTGTAAAACTGATAAATATTTACTAATAAGAGCGCATAGCAGCTAAGGTCAAGTTTAAAGATCCTAATATACAAGATGTCTGAAAATGCCTTAAATACTCACACACATCATGATATAACTTTGTCATGAACTATGCCTTCTTGTTAAATGGAAGTTGAGACAGGTCAAGGACTTGGGATGATATCAGACTTGGAAACAGACCTCTACTTATCTCAGCACAGCCTAATGATGAAACCTTCCATTAGTGATCTCCCTCTCTATCTTCAGTAATTACACTGGTCAATCCAGCTACCTTACATCCCAAGAGAACTTCAGCAGTGCTTTCATTACACAGAAGGGAACACTTAATAACAAAATCACTTTGTTTATCTTGCTTGTTTCTGCTCCAGGCTATTTCCCACCCAGAATGAGAAGCACCTTTTGTAGCAGGTGCATGCAAACCAAGTACTCCTGGAGCTACAGGAAAGCATCATTCAGAAGTGATTCCCATCTGACAGTGGATTTTGCCACTAGAAACTCTGACAGTCAAAGTGGAAGAAATATTCATAAAGTGGATTAGAACAAATCTGCTGTTCGGGATTATGAAGCATTCCTACAGCATGTGTTAACTTTGTTGCATACATGCAAATGCCAATAATCTATGTTCAAATTGAACAGAGTTCCCTCAACAGAAATTAAGTAACCTGCAAAGCTTCAATACTCCCAGTGGTATCCAGGAGGCACAGTGAGGGGAAAATGGCAATACCAAATCACTAAATCCCTTGTCGCACAGGTTGTGCCAGGCACAGATATATGCAATGCCTACAGATACTGAAGAGCTAAGCATTTGGAAAGTTGAACAAACTGTTCTGGACAGCACCTACCGCTTTGTAGGCCATGGTTTGTGATGGAAAAATCCAAATGTGACCACAGCTGTAAAACTCCACACTACCACCTTTTAATGGTAGTTACTTGATTTCTCTTTTGTATGATCAAACTTTAATTAAAAAAACATACCACATGGAAATTGATGTACACACACATGTAACCACTTAAGTTTTAGTATGAAGGGAGATATTGAATATTCCTACTTATGTGGAATGAGTTTTAATTCATCTGGGGCCACACCATATAGGACTAACCTGACTTTGTGAAAAAGTCAGGGATCCACTGGTGTCTAAAATCCTTCACAGAATTCAATTTCTTTCACCATGCATTCCTGTAACTTTCACTGGCCTCTTGTAGATGTTAAAGAGGCAGTGCTGGCACTTCTGCTGTTCAGTGTGGCACTCCAGAGTTTGTCTAGAGACCACCAAAGTACCTATGCTATACCAGTAGTGAAGAAGTTTATAAATCCAAATATATCACAAACATGGTTTATTTAGTTTCTCAATTTTCTCCTCAGTGTAGGTTTCTTCTCATTCAGTCCTTCAGCCTATATATTTTTTAATCTCATCTCCCTTTGCCTTTCTACTATTAAGCAGTGTGAAAAGTTAATTTTTAAAAGGATTTTTTTTATATATATTCTAAATGAAAAGAGTATTAGTATGAAAACCTGTAATAACCTCCATGTTTTTGACCTAACTATTTTCAGCTTTAAGAAATCTTGCTTTTTAGCAAAAACAAGCTGCTGCAATAAGCAACATCAGGAAAAACAGAGGTTACTACACTTGTTAGAATACAATAATTAGAATACACTGGAAAAAAAAAAAAACTACACTAAAAAGATCTCTGTGAAGCTGATTTAATATAGATGTTGTTATGCCTCAGAAAACTGCTATCATTGCTTTGGAAGATTTGGAAGACTTACTAAACTTTTTACCACATCCACAGAAATGTTCCAGCATCCAGAAGACAGCAGTCTATAGCTATTCTCAAAGTGACAGAGTGCCATAAAAAGTTTTGTAATGATTTTATTCAGGCAGACTGGTAAAGAATATGGTGCTGATATAGTTGAGTGCATTTTTTATTAATGAACAAATACAACAGTTCACCTTGTTCCCTTCAGCATAGTATAAATGCATCTTCTTTGCTACTTGAACCAGTTAAACCTGGGTATTGATGAGTGTTGGAGCAAATAAAATTTGATATACTTCAGATATTGGAGACAGAAAGCTATTATTAAAGGCAGACTTAAAAAAGATATATATCTTAAAACAAATAAACAAACAAAACCAAAACTCAATAAGCAATAAATGAATCAAGCCCAGAATTAAAGCCAACTGACTCACCCCCATAAAATTTTTGTGGATGAACAATTTGACAGACAGGTCTCCAAGTCACTTTAGCTACCCTAGATTTTCATCACTGCTATCCGTGAGAAGGCAAATTAAAAGCAATAGTAAAGACTGAAAGGTCTCAACAGACTCTTTATTCTTGCATGCATTACACCCTTTTATCAACTGCTATACACTTTGTTCAGGGCCAAATATTCCCCTCTGCCTAGTATCAGGAGATTTTTTTTCAGTAGTTTAGCTGAAATGGGTACCAAGAGAAGGCTGAGATGGATGAGGAATGCAATGGAAGAGATGCTCCCATTACATAAGGCATGCCAGGCAATGCCCCTACACATTAAACCAACTCAGTTAGTCCCCTTTACAAAGGAATGTGTTTGCTTAAGATTGCACATTCTTCTGAACCATTTTGTAGTGCAAGAAGGTATGTATAGTAAAGGCTTATTTTGGATCCCTGGTGTCCACGCGGAGCCCCATAAAGCAAACCAGTCTTTTTTGTTGGGGCTCAGTCAGACTCCCATTGAAGTCAACAAAAAAGCCTTTTATTGACTTCCACATGAGCAAGTATCTAAGAGAATATCCTTCACAAAAATCTTTCTCAGTGAGGAAGAAGAAACTAGAAACCTTCAGATAAATCCTGACAAGAAACCTCCACAGGCATGAGGAGAAATTATGTAAGCCTGAAAAGCTCATGGTCAGTGGTCTCTCTGGACTCAGATCATGATGCACTTTATGCCTTAATATAGGAAACTGAGTAAGTGCACTGGAGAAGGGAGGTTCAGAAAATTCACATTAACTGTGCACACACCTGACTATGAGACATATTCCAGGAGCATATTTTGTTAACCTTGCACTGCTCCACACGTGGAAGCATGCCATAGTGCCAGGCTCCTGCACAGCCAGTGCTGCATGCTTCCCTGGCTAGGTGCAATCTCCTGCACCTTTCAGGAGGATCACTGACCCACAGCAGCAATCACAGACAGGCTGTGTGTTTGGGGTACAGAGCCAGACAAGCAGAAGGGTATCCTAGAGTCAACACGGCACGATGAGTGTCACCCCTCACACAAAGTGTCTGGTTTGAAGAATATGATCCAGCTCGAGGTTATATCTGGGACTGTAGTGTTAGCTCCCTGGTAAGGGCTTCAAAGATACTCAAACAGGGGGAGCCCAAGAAGAGAGTTTCAGAGTCAAAAGGCTACCTAGCAAGCCAGAAAGGCTGCGCTGGCCTCTTATCCCAGACTACCTACCCTTTCCTGGGGAAGACAAAGTCATGGCAATAAATGTACCACAGGAAATGATCTTCCCAGGGATATCTACTGCAAAGGGACCTTTGCCAGGTTTATGCTGGCTTCCCAAACTTTGTGTGACTGGGGACTGTCAATTCCATAAACTGCAGGAGAGACGAAGATGGCAGGATATGAGTTTGTTTAGAAATCTCAAGTGTAGTTATACATAGCCACAGGCTGTGATTGTTCAGGGCCAAGTCCAGCCAAATTCTGAAAATACCCAAGGATGGAGATTTGGCAGGCTTCTCCGGGCACTTGTTCCAGCATTTGACTACCCTCATCCTGAAAAAGAATACTTCTGTATACCCAGTCAGAACTTCCCCTGCAGCAAGCTGTGACTTGTCTCTTTTCCTTTCACCTTGCACCTCAGGGAACAGGAACTGTACTACAATTTCACAGCCATGTGTTTCTCTGAGGGAGAAAGCGGAGAATTTCCTTAAGATTTACAGTGGTAAATTATCTTATATCAAGAACAAAATGAGGAAAACAACAACAACAACAACAACAAAAACCACATAATGCTGCTTTCCACTACAGTGTTTCAAAGTACAGACATAAATTAACTGCTGTGAGAAATCATAGCTTGGAAACTTTGCTGCATGAAGATAACTACCCACACAGTGGAACTGGATTTCCTATCTAACAAAAAAGCTTTTGGCTGCACTTTAAACTCTCTTTCTTGGTTTCTCTCTAAATCTGTACTACCAAATAGCTTTTCTGCACCAGGTCAAGTTGCCTGGTCCTCATGCACAGCAGGAACTCTTACTGCTTCAAGTATGAATAGGATGTAGCTCAGCTACTTTCTACTATTATTTTCCCATTGCACCTTTCTGAATGTGAGGCAGACTAGAAGTGGTCGATGTACTCAAGCCTTAAATGTGTGTTAGGTTAGAACAGGCTGGATACTTTATTTTTTTTTTCCAAAGGAGGTTGGAATAATATGATGTGTTAAGGCCTTAATAAAGCAGATACCCTGAAGAATCTGTTCTTCACCTTGATGAACATGGAGTGTGAATATAGGAAGGAAAATTAAGCTACACCCATAGGAAATATGACCAGATTTGTGCCCCAAGGATAAATCTAGAACTTTGGTCTTCATTATTAAAGTCATGATAACTGACCTGTGAGTTTTTCCAGAACATCAAATCCATGTTTCAGAGCAATGATATCAAGAAAAGAGACTGTGCCATCTTCAAACCTGAAGAACAGAACAAAGCAGCACAATAAACAAACCATACAGCTTTGGTACAGACTTTAAATCCATTTTGAGAGGCACTATCTTACGTCCAGTGAATCTAACTTGCAGACTACGAACTCTTCCTGGGGGATGAGCGCCAGAGGTCCCTCGGGCACTGGTGTCTCTTGTGCCACCGGTGCTATCCCTCTGCCCAGGACACCTCTACTTTGGGTCAGGTGCATTCCTTCTTGGTGCTTCACCAGACTGCATGGCTGTCCTCGCACAGCAAGAGGCCTGCCGCTCGCCTTGCTCTCCTGGTCTCCTTCCTGCCACACAAGCTGGCAGTCAGAGGGCCGAGATGCTTAGCGAATGGTGGGCCAGCTGCAGGGGGCCTGCTCTATAGGGTCCAGGGCACTGGTGGCCACTGTGACCTTCTGCAAGCCTCTGGGATAGAGTAGCCCACGCGTGGCCAAAGGTGGCTGTGTTGGGGGCGGCCTGGAAGATGCCCTCATGTGGACAAAGAGGAGGGTTGGGGCACTGAGGGCCCCTTTTCTGGGGCTGGCTCCCCTCATCATTTGGTTTGCCAGAGAGAAAGGCTGCCCCTTGGCCACAGGGACTGCCCTGCACCTCCCATCCTGTGCCCTGGGTTTATTTTTAACACTGTTTTTTAGGTAATTTCATTCTGTTCTTTAAGGGAAAGAACAGAAGCAAGGTGCACCTTCAGCCCTAATTCCCATGTGCACTTTGTGCTCCAAGCGAAGAATTTCATCGTCACGTTACATCTCATCTAAATCTCCCCCCCATTTGTTCAAAGGCATTATTCCTGGTCCCATGGCTACACTCCTTGACAGAGTCCCTCTCCAGCTTTCTTCTAGGCCACTTTTATGGGTAAGGTTAGGTGGCAAAAACGCAGCATCTAGCAAATTGCAGCCTTATCTGTCATAAGGTCCTAAGTTGTCTCCTTCCAATGTTGGAACTTGACACTAATAGGTGAGGAGACATGTGGAGACTTTGTGTCTGCTCCACTCCAAGCAATTACATCTAGTACACTTAAGTTAGAAGGCAAGAGACCTTCTTCCCTGGAGCAAAGGGGATGATCACTAATAAATCTCCCTCCAAACTATCCTCCTGGAAATTAAAAATAACTGACCTATAACAAGAGTGCTATAGAAGGATAGGGAAAAATGTGCATCCACTACCAAGAGGGTAAACACCAAATGGAGACAAAAATCCTGGATTTGATGAACGACTGCAGCCATTCCCGCAGCTCAGAAGATACAGCTTTGAGATGGGGATGTATTCAAGAAATAGTGACCAAGAGATTTTCAAGGGGGCAGAAGGGAAGGGACATTGTATTAGGCATCAAAGTATATTTTCTTTAGACTCTGTATATGTATTTTTTAGACTCCACATGCACCACAATCCACAAGCAATTTTAAGAAGTAACCATTCATCTTGCTTTACAACAAAGGGGAACGCAGAATAATGCTGACTACTGAGGAAGTCAAAACTATACAGAATTAACTACTGCGTAAGGCTGAAACAGATCTCAGCAAGTCTCTAAGGAGGCAGTAGCTACCTCCAAAGCTTTAATGGCTAATGCTGGAAATTAGCCCACCAGCAACAACCCCAAATCTCATGGTTCAAGTTTAAAATTAGACTCTGACCATGAGGATGAGACGTTTCCAGGGACTTGGTGCTCCCTGAACCTGCCTCAGAAGGGGCTGATGATGTCCACATTGAAAAATCACTGGACAACGTGGAGCACAACAGAAGCACTCTTGGGCAAAAAATGTTTTATATGCTCACATAGTATGCAAGAAAAATAGTGTTGTTTTTTTTTTTTTTCTAGATGTATATTTTTTTCTTAATGCACTTAGAAAGCTTTTGGTGCTGCAATTAAACATTTACTGTAAAAAGACTCAAAAGTTAGAAATATCTGTCTTCAAATACTTTTTAAAAATATAATACATCTCAACAGAATAGCGTAATAGCTCTCACTTCTACAGTGATTTTTCTTACTCATCTATTTAATTTGTCTGTAGTTATTGACTAATTGTAACAACACGAGTAACACTGACAGGAGAGTCAGCTGAAGAACATATAAAGCTCCCCCAGATAGTCGGTAAAGTTCCATATAAGTGTAATGCATGAGTATTGTATAGGTCAGGTTGGTGGTTGGACTCAGTGATCTTGAGGGTCTTTTCCAACCTAAATCATTCTGTGATTCTATACAGCAGTAAGTTTAGTTGGGACTAAATTCAGATAGAAGCACTAAATAATTACAAATAAAATGACAATAAAGAAGTGGTGGACTGCTATAGGGAAGAATAGTCCAAGAGAGATCATTCATGTCCACATATTCCAACCCAACATAGGTCAAATAATCCTTAGGAATTTTTGAATCTTGTCTAGTAATAATTTATAGCGAAGTCTTTTGCTCCTGAACCTCAGGAGCAATGGTTTTCAGTGATTAAATTTAAAATAGCCAGTTGCCATTTCAAGGAGATCTAATACCAGGAGCACTTTCATATTATGTGAAATGGCAACACAGATCTGTGGATCAGTGTCTGAGGGAAGCAATATTTCCAGAAATACAGAAAAATTGGTGGGAGGAGGAGGGGGAAGAGAGAAGGCAGCAGCTATCAATAGTTTTGAAACTGAATGTGGAAAAACACTAGAAATTTGCGTAGGCTGCAGGAAATGTCACAGTGGTCCTGCACAGTTGCCAAGGAGAGATTACAGAAAGGATCCTTAAGGAGTTGACCTGCCCTGCTCAGATATTGGCAATGCCTAGGAAAGCAAATAAAGCACTGGGATTTGAAGACCAGAGCAGAGACTCTGGCACCAAGCCCATCAAGCAGAGTTCATAACCCTCAATAGAAATAAAAAAGTACTTGAAAGAGATACAAAGGTGGCAGCAGAAATCTTCAAGGACCTCTATATATTAATAGGAGAAGAGAAAACTGGATTTCTCTTTATTAGGTATGGTTATTAAGTAAGGAGACAACTGCAGTGCATCCATCATGAAGCAATAGAGAATGCATGAACCATGACACTGTTTTAAAGATTTTCACTGAAGTAGTACAGAGCTTAGGAACCCCCTTCTGTCCAGAAAAAAATAAAATAAAAATTGTGATTTTTCTGGTCAAACATTACACATCAGAACAGCACAATCACTGTAGTAGTATATACATCTTGCATTGTTATATCAGACCTGCATTACTTGTTCTTTCTGAATTGCAAAAAAAATTGACCACTGGCAGCAACATTACAAGAACCAAAAGCCATAAATTTATTAAATGCTAAATGCTAAAAATATTTGCTATAAAGATACAGGCAAGTCTCTTTTTATGATTCAGATATGGACTACTTTGCAACATTCCTCTCTTGTATGTGTATGTTCATATGGCCCACTCTATTTCTACATTACCAGCTTTCCACTTCTGATAAAGAAAGCACTAATATTGTTATTCCTACAATGTGCATATTTGCACTGCTGCCATTGCACTTCACTCTCCATATTCTCCAGATTTACTGAACACGCTACATGCAATTTCATGTAACGCTGTCACTTCCCCCCCTATTTCCAGTTATAGAATTGATAATTTTGCTTTATCACCTAAGAAATTCACATGAATCATCTACAAATGCTGGCATTCATCAAATGAAGCCTTAACTAATACAGCAATTTTACTTAGTACCGATGCAAACCATGACGCGATGAAGGGCAGCTATTCCCCTCTTGGAACATGGAGAGCTCTCTCCCAGAATATTTAACTGTATTTAGGATTGAGAGTAAACATACTCCTTTGCATTGCAAAACACTAACTCCAATGGCTACTTTTCTGTTTGATGTAATTGATGCTTCAAATAAATTGTTTTCCCACTCAGTGGCAGCTCCAATGTTAGAATAATCTGTTTAGGATGAAGTTCATTTGAATGGAAGTCCAACAACCATTTCCTAAAGTAATGAAGTAGACATCTCTGCAGCTGATGATGTATAAAGGATACTTACAAGGATAATAGTGCAAAGTACCAACCCAAGAAAAAACAAGCTTACCTCTCTCCCTCTCTCTTAGCTGGTTCTTATTACAATTAATCCCACTTAATCACAGCTGGGATGAGCTCAATTGCTTAGCTAATTGTGTTTGTGAAAACCTGATAACATTTCACATCAACCTGCTATCTGGCAAACTCATTAAACAGCTCGTGGCATAACAAAAACACAGAACAGTCTGCCTAAATCTATCAAGGAGTTATGAAGTTGATGAGTTGCTCTTTCTCTCTCTTTATTTTTATTTTTTTTTTTAGCAAGCCACACAAGACCTCTGCTTTTAGAAGCGCTAATTCTTCCTTTGAGTCATGACAGAAAATTTGCTTACAGAGAGAGGTTGCACTGTTACGATCTTCCTAGGGATGGAGAGAGCTAGTTTTTCTTTGAATACTGTCAGTTAGCTGTTGTGACACTTCTCTGCTAGGCTTCTGCATACAAATGCTATTTTCTAGAGCTGCTAACCTGCACCTCAGGGCAATTGAATTAGGGAATAAAACTGTGACATCCTGGGCAGTTTGAAGTCATCATCTTAGCCAGGTCACCTTTACGTGGAACTATGATGACACGTGGAACTATGATGCCCTGGACAGAAGTGATTGGAAAAAAAGCGCTTAAGGCCTAAACAAACAATTCCTGTGTAGAGAGGAGTAAAATTGGATAAAAGACCTGGAGTTGGACAGCATTGACTCAAGTAAGGAGTCTGAAAGGGCCCTTGAGACCAATCAGCCAATGCTAAGGTTGTGAAATACGTTGCATAACATGAGTTATTGAGTATATGGACAGTATAAAAAGCACAGTTTTTAGGCATTTTGGGTGGGAGCGACCGCCTCTGTATTCTGGGAAGATTTACTTGCCTAGCAGGCAGATGAACCATTCAGTTGTTCCTTTCCCCAATTCATTTACCCAGAGTAAACCCAGACACAGAGCTACTGCACATGTACAACGTCTCTGTCCAAAACATAGC